CCCAGCTTCCCCTAATTGGACATCAAGGGCTCCCCCTCTTCTCAGCTGGAGACAATGAAGGCATCCCCAACAACCATATCCCCATTGAGACTGTCCACCTCTGCACCCTGTGCTCTCTCTATCAAGCACTCACCCCAACCTGATTCCCTTCTCAGTGTTCACTCACTCATCTAGTAAAGAATTAGAGAAGCTTTCCTTGGTTTTCTCCATTATAGGATGCACCTGCTTTCCCTCTCAGGTGTCTGAGCTTTCTTTTGAACTGAAGTATTGTAAGTTTAAGGAAAAGTGTTTCTCATGTGAATAAGAACAAGGGATGAAATCCTGCGCCCCATTGAAATCAGTGGAAGGCCAAGATTTTATGGAACATTTTGAGGGCCTGATCCTGCTCTCAAATGCAGTGTTCTGTGTCAGGATTAACTCCAGTGTATAGGAGTTATAGTAGGTTAAAAACAGGTCTTGACTCTGTTCCTTAAGGCTATAATGGGAGACTCCATATGCCATACAGGGTATAAATACACTGGCATAATAGCATGATATTTATCTTATTGTATGTTGGACTATTTTCCTCAGTGAAATGGAGGGTGGGTAAGCTAGAAAGCATGCTCAGTGTCTGGGAACAATAGTTTTGCCTGTGTCACTACAGATCAGAAATAATTATTTATGGAATTTTCCTCTTAAAGGACAAAATAAATAAGCCATGAGCTTTCAATGTGGATTGATTTGGATAGATCACTTACTCTCAAAATATTAAAAGTACAGTGTATGGAGTATGTAAACATTCTGCTAGTATGGCTGAAAACACTGATACCCCAAAAGAATTATTTACTTCAGTCATGCAATTCAGATGCCGAGGGAATACTGATTTAGATGTGGGGCCCTTGGCATAAAGCACTGGGCATTAAATGCATGAGCATTTCTTCAGAGCTGCTTAGCTGAAGTTTATCATGACCATTCAGCTATTGCCTAGCAACTTGTGGAAGCAATCAAAGAGCTCTTTGTCCACAGCTCTGGCAAAAACATTTCTTCACAGATCTCCTTATCAGGATCAAAAGCAACACACAAACCTATCAAAAATACTTTTATTGGATAAGAAAGAAAATACACATTTTTAAATCAAATTGTTCATCACCATGTCATACTGGTTATGTCAAAACATCTCTTGCAAACCCCACTAAAATCTTGTTTTCCTCAGTTCATAGCTTTGCTATAAAGCTTAGCTCTCTTTTCTGAAATGTAGTATACAAAATCAGAGCTTGGAGAATTCTTTGTCTTTTTTGTTTAATCTTTTTGAAATTTCTACCCTTCTCTCAAAAATAAGTTAGTTTTTAAGTTATACAGATGTAAAAATTAAAACTAAATTTTCCTGTTTTTAAGTTCTTTTTTGTGTTCCTCTGAATAACAACTAATAGATGAGATATTTTAAAATATGTAGATAGAGATACAATATGTCATTAAATTAGTATATGTTCCTCTCTGCTTATACATGCCCCAACTCCCAATACAGTGGAACCTGCCTTGCTTATACTGAACTTAGATATAATGAAATTCCCTGTATAATGAAGTGGATGGAAAGTTCAGAATTATTTCAATGCATTACGTTGTGCAAATTGCAATTCCAAATACAGCAGTCACCATTAAAAATGCAACATTTGCCCATAGTTATGGACAGTAGTATCTGAGATACAATGTTTTTTCCTTTGCTAAGTATCCTGAAATAATTCTCCACCTGATCACCTTCACCCATCAGAAAACACATGGGAAGAGGATAAGAAAAAGGAAATCTTTAAAGTTTTCTTCATGGAAGTATCTCCTTGACCACTATAGGGGGAAAGGGCTTGTCTTTTTTTCTTGTTCCTCCATGGCTCAGGTTGGGTCCCCCAAACCTCATTGACCCTATGGGCCTGGGACTCTGCCGCTTCTACACTAATGTCCCCACATAGCATGGTTGTCATGATCAGTGATTTTCAAACTTTTTTTCTGGGAACCCAGTTGAAGAAAATTGTTGATGCCCGCGCCCCAACGGAGCTGGGGATGCAGGGTTTAGGTTGTGGGAGGGGTTCAGGGCTGAGGCAGAGGGTTGAGGTGCAGGGGCAAGGGCTGCGGGGTGGGGCCAGGAATGAGGGGTTCAGGATGTGTGAGGGGGCTCTGGGCTGGGGCAGAGGGTTGGGGTGCGGGAGGGGGCCAGGGCTCTGGGCTGGGCGTGCAGGCTCTGGGGTGGGGCCAGGGATGAGGGGTTTAGGGTGCAGGAGGGGGCTCTGGGTTGGGGGGGGCTTAGGGCTGGGGCAGTGGGTTGGGGTGTGGGAGGGGGTCAGGGCTCTGGGCTGGGGATTCAAGCTCTGGGCTGGGGCCAGGGATGAGGGGTATGGGGTGCTGGAGGACTCTGGGTTTGGAAGGGGCTCAGGGCTGGGGCAGAGGGGTGGGATGTGGGGCAAGGGCTTATGTCCAGCGGCTCCCGGTCAGTGGCGCAGCCGGGGTGCTTAGGCAGGCTTCCCGCCTGTCCTGGCACCGCGGACTGCCCTGCGCCCTGGAAGCAGCCTGCCAGCAGCAGTTCTGGCTCCTAGGTGAAGGCGCGCACACGGCTCTGTGCAGCTCTTGCCCACAGGCACCACCCCCCCCCCCAGCTACCATTGGCCGGGAACTGGCCAATGGGAGTGCGGAGCCAGTGCTTGGGGCGGGGGCAGCGCGCGGAGCCCCGTGGCCCCTTCTGCCTAGAAGCCGGACCCACTGCTGGCCGCTTCCGTGGCGCAGCGTGGTGTCAGAGCAGGAAGGCACTAGCCTGCCTTAGCTGGGCAGCACCGCCCATGGGACTTTTAATGCTGACCAGAGCCGCTGGGTCACTAAGCAAGGCGACCCAGTGCCGTACATGCTGCGACCCAGTACTGGGTCGCAACCCGAACTTTGAAAAACACTGTCATAGAGGCTTCTCAAATTTGGGTTCCTAAATAAGTCCATATTTAGGCATCTAACTAAGTGGTCTAATTTTCAGACATGCTAAAATCCCACAGTTCTCACTGATTTCAAATGGGGGTCCTTAACATGTCTCAATATCAGGCCACTTAGGTGCCTAAATATGGACTTATTTGTCTAATGTTAGGTACCCAAATTTGAAAATATTGGCCCAAGTTATTGAGAAGCTGGTTGTTTTGTGTCTTAACTGTAGATAAAAGGACAATCAAGATACCTATGTAGGCAAAAAATCAAATGTGATGGTGGTATTGTTAAGATACAGGAACTCTTTCACCTCATGGCAATAAAAATTCTTTTCAGGTCAATATTAAGCGAAGGGTTGTTATTATCTTATGGCTGTTCGGTGACCTGTATCTGGATTCTAATAGAAAAATGTTTTCACTACTGTTGGCACTGTTTTGGCCCCCTTTTTGACAGTCTTAACAGAGAGGCAAAAGATTTAAGAATCTGGAGATTCACCTTTCCTCTAACCAGAGAGGTGCTCATTCCTTAATTAGATTCAGGCAGTTTGCAGGGCAGTTGTTGCGGGGCTGGGAGCGGGAGGGGAGGGGAATGACACTGTGCCTGTATGGATGAATAAGGTAATTTATTTTCAAGGATTTTCAGCATTTCACTAACACTAGATATTCACTTTTCAGTGTTTTTTAGAAGATTTTTCTCAAATATCACATGTGAAACTGTCTGTTTTGCCTTTTTTGAAAAGTCTGACAGTAAGTGACCAGAACCATATTTTGCTGGAAATACTTCTAAAGCAAGTCGTACTTGTGGCTGGATTTAGTCCATTTTTTCTTTAGCCAAATGATTCATTCAATAGAGGCACTACAATAATCGTCAGTTGCTAATGCAAAGTACTGTAGACACAATAAGGTCTGAGTACCACAGTAGTTGCTTACTGGCATTTAACATGCGGGGGACTTTTCAGAAGTGGGTAGAAAAGAAATAAAATCAGGAAAGTTAGATTTAAGGTTGCTGGTTTGTAAAGAAAAAATGTCTATGATTCTAATTACCAGTTCATATTATGATTTGTGCCTGTTTCTGTATTGGGGTTCAGGTCATGGCAATTTTATATTCAGTTTTGTGCCAAAAACAGACAAAATACTGAATGACGGATGTCCTTAGTACTGTGTTGCAGCTAAGCATTTTGGAATGCTCACATGGTGTGTTTTGAAACCTTTTGTGTGCTCTACATTTTTTCATTTGGTATGAGGCTTAGTGGTAATCAGCTCACCACTAATTAGAAGTCATTCCCTGTCCTGATCACTATTGTTACATGAAATTATCTCAGGCCTTAAGAATTTTTACATTCAGAAGAGAAGTTTCAGCAGTAGCTTGCTTTGTCTTGTATATTTTCCTCACAAAGAAGTGATAATGATCTTCTGCTATCTGGAATGATCATTACAGAGGAACCAAAAGCCATGTATGCCGCATTTGGATTATTTTGCACTTTTCCATTTCCTTTCTCTTTGCAGCTGGTAAACAGAACATACTCATGGTGAAAATGAGGGGTGGACAAGGCCTGGTTTTATAAAGGTCATGGGAGACACCAAAAACTTTTGTAATACTGGAGCGTTGGCTACTTGGGGGCTTCAGCCCTGTGGAATTCTTAAGCTTTGCTAAGCTGAAGCTAAGCACCTGAAGAGTTCCTAAATCATTGTGGCTTAACTTCAGTTTTACAGATCTTAAAAGCTCAGCAGGAATGAAGCTTGAAGGTAGGATCTCCTGTAGCTCATATGTTCTGTGGAAGCAGAGCTGCAGCGATGCTTTCCTGCTGTAGAGCTTAGGATCAAATCCTGCACACAAGTAATCAAAGTGGGAATATAAAGGGATCCAGTGTTGTGGAGTCCAGGAAAGGCAGAAGCAGGGAGAAGAGCCTGATTAAAGAATGGGATGAAATCCTGATCCTATTAAAGTCTATGGGAGTTTTGCCCTTGACTTCCATGGGGCCAGGATTTCACCCTGTTTGTTATCTGTGGTCTATAGAATCTGACTACTGGTGCTGCTGGTGACATCTCTGTGTATTTAATGGCTTGCAGGTATACATTGTGACAGCGTGTGTGCCGAGGGTCAATGGGGTCCAAACTGTTCATTGTCCTGTTACTGCAAAAATGGAGCTTCGTGCTCTCCAGATGATGGAATCTGTGAATGTGCACCAGGATACAGAGGCACCACTTGTCAAAGAAGTAAGGACAATGCTTTAAGATTTTATTCCCTTCTTCCTTTTTAAAATATGTGTATCATATAACTCTATGTGGTTTTGCCAATATATGATGTAACAGGCCCACATTCTGCATTTTAATTGTGTTAATATACAAGGGGAAACGAAACATGTGCTTTATGTACAGTTATCAAATAATTCCCATCAGTAATCATCATCTTCTTGTTACTATAGTTTTATACTTTTATTTATTATTTATATACTGCTATAGTAAAGAGTCTTACAATCAAAGTCCAAAATTTTCAAATCCAAGTTCCTAATTTCAGGGTCCTAAATCCATATTTAGGCAACTAAATAAAAGAAGCCTGATTTTCAGAAGCACTGAACATCTGCATTTCCCACTGAGTTCAATGGCAGTTACTAGTCTAATTATTACTATTATTTAACAATTATGTTGCAGGAGCACCTAGATGCCAACCAGTTCAGGGTCTCATTGTGCTAGGCACTAACATAGTATACAGTACACAAATGAATTATATGTACAGACATATAAATATGAAAGGTTTTGCAATCTAAAAGACACTACATAACAGAGGAGACAAACAAATGGGCTGAGGTGGGGTGGCAAAAAACAGGATCACAAAAATAATAGGGGGTGCACAATTCTTAACCACCAAAGAGTACTAATCACTATTCACCACCTTGCTAGGTTTTTCAGACTGTATTTTTCTGTTTGTACCATAGAAGAGGTGAGGGAGAGAGAGATCCAGAGTAGAGGTAGATTTGTGAGTCATAAGCATAGAGATGGTAGCCTTTTTTTTTTTTTTTGAAGGAGATCACCCCCAGTAGGCTTTTGAGTGAGAAGAGTAAGGGACAAGGATGGAGACCTGAGAAATCCCCACTGAAAGAGGAAAGGAGAAAGGCCCATCCAATGACTATCAAAAGATAAGAGCAGAACCAGGAGTGGATGGAGTCACAAAGCCCAGGAATGACAGGATTTCAAGAAGAAGATGAATATGAAAACAACAAGGAGTCCGGTGACACCTTAAAGACTAACAGATTTGTTTGGGCATAAGCTTTCGTGGATAAAAAACCTCACTTCTTCAGATGCATGGAGTGAAAATTACAGATGCAGGCATTATATAATGACACATGAAGAGAAGAAGTGAGGTTTTTTTACCCACGAAAGCTTATGCCCAAATAAATCTGTTAGTCTTTAAGGTGCCACTGGACTCTTCGTTGTTTTTGTGGATACAGACTAACACGGCTACCTCCTGATACAAGACGAATATGGATGACCCTAATATTAAATGCCTGACATTACTGTGGCATTAGTATTCTCTAAGCATTTCTAGTTAAGTGGTGTAATTGTTCTTTACTATCACTTGCATACCTCTCAAAGGACTTTTTCAGTAAATCAGTTATCCCAAAAGAAGACTAAGAACCTAGGAACACAAGAAAGGCCATACTGAGTCAGATCAATAATCCACCTAGCCTAGTATCCTGTCTTCTGACAGTGGCCAATTCCAAGTGCTTCAGAGGGAATGAACAGAACAGGCAATCTTTGAATGATCCATCCCGTGTTGTCCACACCCAGCTTCTGGCAGTCAGAGGCTAGGGATACCCACAGCATGGGGTTGCACCCCGACCATCTTGGCTAATAGCCATTGATGGACATATCCTCCATTAACTTATCTAATTCTTTTTTAACTTTAGTTTGGCTTTCACAACATCCCCTGGAAATGAGTTTCACAGGTTGACCATAAGTTGTGTGAAGAAGTATTTCCTTCTGTTTGTTTTAAACCTGCTGCCTATTAATTTCCCTGGGTGACCCCTGGGTCTTGTGTTATGTGAAGGAGTAAATAACACTTCTTTATTCACTTTCTCTACATCATTTATGACTTTATAGACCTCTATTATATCCCCCCTTAGTCATCTCTTTTCCAAGCTGAAAAATCCCAGTCTTTTTAATCTCTCCTCATATGGAAGCTATTTCATACCCCTTATCATTTTTGTTGCCCTTTTCTGTACCTGTTTGAATTCTAATATTTATTTTTTTAGATGGGGCGACCAAATCTGCATGCGGTATTCAAGATGTGGGCATAACCTGGATTTATATAGTGGCATTATAAAATTTACTGTCTTATTATCTATCCCTTTCCTAATGATTCCTAACATTCTATTAGCTTTTTTTGACTCTGAAAACATCCACTCAATGTGCAGCGGCAGTCAAAAAAGCAAACAGAAGGTTGGGAATCATTAAGGAAGGGATAGATAATAAGACAGAAAATATCATATTGCCTCTATATAAATCCATGGTACGCCCACATCTTGAATACTGTGTGCAGATGTGATTGCCCCATCTCAAAAAAGATGTATTACAATTGGAAAAGGTTCAGAAAAGGGCAACAAAAATGATAGGAGTATGGAACAGCTTCCATATGAGGAGAGAGTAATAAGACTGGGACTTTTCAGCTTGGAAGAAATGACGAAGGAGGTATATGATAGAGGTCTATCAAATCATGAGTAGTGTGGAGAAAGTAAATAAGGAAGTGTTATTTACTTCTCATAGCACAAGAAGTAGGGGCCACTAAATGAAATTAATAGGCAGCAGGTTTAAAACAACCAAAAGGAAGTATTTCTTCACACAATGTACAGTCAACCTGTGGATTTCTTTGCCAGAGGATGTTGTGAAGGCCAAGACTATAACAAGGTTCAAAAAAGAACTAGATAAGTTCATGGAGGATCGGTCCATCAATGGCAATTAGCCAGGATGGGCAGGGATGGTGTCTGTAGCCTCTGTTTGCCAGAAGCTGGGATTGGGCGATGGGATGGATCACTTGGTGATTACCTGTTCTGTTCATTCCTTCTGGGGCACCTGCCATTGGCCACTGTTGGAAGACAGGATACTGGGCTAGATGGACCTTTGGTCTGACCCAGTATGGCCGTTCTTCTGTTCTTATGACTCCTGCTGCACATTGAATGGATGTTTTCAGAGAACTATCCACAATGACTCCAAGATCTCTCTCTGGTGGTAACAGCTAGTTTAGACCCCATCATTTTATATATATAGTTGGGATTATGTTTTCCAATGTGCATTACTTTGCATTTATCAATATTGAATTGCATCTGCCATTTTGTTGCCCAATCACCTGGTTTTGTGAGATCCCTTTGTAGCTCTTCACACTCTGCTTTGGGCTTAATTATCTTAAGTAGTTTTGTATTGTCTGCAAATTTTGCCACCTCACTGTTTACCCCTTTTTCCAGATCATTGATGAATATGTTGAACAGCACTGCTCCCAGTACAAATCCTTGGGGGACACCACTGTTTACCTCTCTCCTTTCTCAAAACTGACCATTTATTCCTATCCTTTGTCTCCTGTCTTTTTACTAGTTAAATAAATGTAAACCTTCCTAGTGATTAACAAAGGTATAGTGGCTTCCACAGTTTAGCACTGAAATGGCTCTCAGAACCAATCGCTCCTGCACAGTCTAGAGACAAATGGTCACACAAATAAATCAGGGCCCAATGACAAAAATGCTGTTTCTGTAAACAGGAAAATCTTATGACTGACACAGTGCTTCACTTGAAAATGGTGAAGCACTCCAGAGGGATTTGACCAAGTAAACTGTATCAAGTGTACATTTAAGAGACTGAATTTTGAACTAAATTAACATAGTGAAAATATACCAGGTTACTTTGGTAAATAGTAATTGCTGCTGTACAGCAGACACTAAACTTAAAGCATTACCTAATATATCCTAATTTATCAGGAAATAAGTGCCAAAGGGATTAGAGAAACAAAGAGAGAAATTCCATGCAGCAAGCCTTTTTTCTTTCAGTCTCTTTATGTGGCTGGTGATATAGCTCTGCTGAAGAAGGGACTAGTACCATTGGCATAAAAATTAACTGGAGGCCTCAGTGTTTCTGGTCTCAAGTTGTGTAGAAACCAGAGGTGATGTGTAGCACTCTGCACTGTGTTAAGGAATGCAGCGACTGGCTAATTTAAAGAACAGCTGGAAAACACGCTACAACTGTGCCTTTCTGCCAATACATCAGTGGGATGAAGTAATTTAGATTTTTCCAAGTGAGAAAAAATATGAGAAGTCAATAATAGCAAAGCCTTAGGGTAAAGTCTTTCCTATTAAGGCTACAACTATCTTACTCCATTCGCCTGTGTATTGTGTTTTAATGTTTTTTCCAACTACTTATCCTTTAATTTTCAAATCTACATATTTTTCAAACATAATTCATGGAAGTTATTACTCATTCTCTGCTTAAACAGAAATATGTTTGATCTGAGTCACATTCTTGTTTGTATTTGTTTGGCTGGTGTGAAATATAGCCTGAATACATGGCTAGGCCACGTTCTGCCACTGAATTACAACTTGTGCAACCCCACTGACATGAATGGGATTGCTCAGGGTGTGAGTCAGGCCAGAATTTGAGTCACTGTCATTATAGGCTTTAACACATTCAATGCTGTTCTTCACTGCCACTACTGTATGGTAGTCCATTGTGGCAGCATCCTTTCAAGTGCCTGAAAGTCACCAGTTACTAACCAGACTGTAGTAAGCTCCTCAGGATAGGGTCTTTTATCTTCTTAGATATCTGCAAGGCATTAAGCACTCACTGGAACTAGATAAATAACAATAACCACTAGTTCAACAAGTATGCACCTAGTAAATGGAGCAGAACTGGAAGTGACAGGAAGGCAGCACTGAACTGGTTAACTGTTAACCCATTTAGTTGTTGAAGAGGAATAGATCATTGTGGGGTAGAAAGTGCAAGAGGAAAGGACTGTATATTCTTTCTGATTTCAGTTTGCTCTCCTGGGTTTTATGGACATCGTTGTAGCCAGGCATGCCCCCAGTGCGTGCACAGCAGTGGTCCCTGCCATCATGTAACTGGACTTTGTGACTGCTTACCTGGTTTCACAGGAGCCCTCTGCAATGAAGGTAAATGCTGTAATAAAGACCCTTGCAATGGATACAGTGACAAAGTGTGGCAATTTTTTTCATTCCATGCTTTCTAGACTTATCCGATCACATTATTCCAAAGTGGTTTCTGGTTTTGTACATGCAGTTTGTAAATGTAGAAACTGAAGCCAGGTTGAAGTTGGTTGAAAAGATAGCTCTTAATGTTTTAAAAATACCTTTATTCTATTTGTGGAGATATGTTCATTATCAAAAGAACCCTCTAGGTAAATGAAATAGCTGTACAATAAATAATATAAATTTGCTCGACTGAATTTATAGCAGCATTTATTTTGGCATTATACTAAATAGGAATTTTCTTGATCCAAGACATCAGATTTCAAGTACAAATATTAGAGAAACAATACAAATGTAAATTACTGAAAAATTCACTAAAATGTTTTAACAGTGTGTCCTAGTGGGAGATTTGGCAAGAATTGTGCTGGAATTTGCACGTGCACCAACAATGGAACATGCAATCCTATTGACAGATCTTGTCAATGTTACCCTGGGTGGATTGGCAGTGACTGCTCTCAGCGTAAGTACCAGTTTTTTTCTTTGAGATATCTTGTTAAAACAATTAGACTAAGTTCAGTTCCTTTTAATTTTCTTCTTGATGTTGAGGAAACACTTCATAACTGACTGATAAATGACAAGGACTTGTATTGGCATCTAGAATTTGTTTGGTTTGTTATAAGAAAAAGAGATGGACAAGATTAAATAAATAAATAAATAAGGACTCCTATGTTATACGGTTAAGAGATATTTACCTACTTTACATTTCAAATCCTATATGAAAACCCATTTGAACATTTGCATAGCAGTTTCATTATCATAAAATTCAAACTTCATGATTAAACAGACATGCACTTCCTTCTCTGTCTAGCTACGTACATGGCCCCCATCACTCTAGTATTGTGAACACCCTATGAACATTAACAAATTTATCCTCAGGACACACTTTAAAATTATGGGAGTATTATTGTCATTATTATTATCCCTATGTTACAGATGGGGAACTGAGACATATAGATGCTAGGTAATTTCCCCATGATCACACAAGAAGATTGTGGCAGGGCTGAAAACACAACCCAGATCTCCTGTGTTCAGTGCCTTTACCCACAAGACCATCCTTCCTCTTCTTAAACATTTTAAATTTTCAAAGCATTTTCTTGGTTTGATTTTTGCAGTCTGGCTTCTTATTTAGCATCGTTTTTACAGATTTCTCTCTGTTCCTTATAGCTTTCATTGATGCATATTTTTTCCAATGACAGTCTATTCCTTGTTGTTCAGTCTGTAGATTAGTCTGATCATGCACCAATGAAGTCAATGGGAAATTTTATCAACATTTTACTTTTCTTATGATTTGTACAATCCATTATTATATTAAATATGGGCTTCCTCCTGACACCTATGCCGGGTCTATCTGAATCAGTAATCACTGGCATTAGTTTTCTGACACAAGCATTTTCATAGGTAGCAAAGCCTAGTATAAAAGCAACTTGATGGCCCAATCCTGTAGCCTGTACATACATAGCTTCACTGGGACAGTCTCAGACACCGATATGTCAGAATTCAGAAAATGTTGAGCTGTGGGTGTGGGAAAGCTGTTCAGTTTCCAAGGAGATGCATCTCCGAATAACCTGTCTCATTAATTTACATTACTTACAGTTTGACTAGCACAGGTTAACTGGCTGTGTCTCAGTGCAATGCAAAGTCTCATCAATTTGGAAAAAAAAGTCCATTGGCTAAATTCTCAGAGGCACTGAACACCCACAACTCCCACTGCTGTTATTACTGGTCAAAATAAAACTTAGGACCTAATGAAGTCAATGGCAAAATTCTTCATTGGATGCAGACTCTTATTCTGTTGTATTCAACTCCTTACCTCCTTTCTGGGGTATGAGTGTTTGAGAGGATGTTGTACTTACAGAAGCAATGCAATAAAATTATGCCAACAGCATGTATGGGGGTATCTATTAAGGCTGTGCTTGTGACCACAAGAGAGGAAGTTTATTTGGTTTGTGCAAAGGCCGTCAGTTCTCATGGAAAATAATGGTTCCATTAATTTCTATCTGAACTGGTGGCCTTCATGAAACCCCTTAGCCTTTTTCTGCATGTGACCTGACATTCCTTCTTGGCTGACCACTAACTTCATGCAGAAATTTTAAAAAATCATCATTACTCTTCACAGCTAATATGGAAACATCAGAAAAAGAATGGACTGAGATTTAAGGAAGAAGATACTTCTTGCAAATGTTTTTTTCTTTCCTTAATAAAACGAAATTTGAATTGTGGTAACACTTCCCAAAAATACAGGCTATACAAATATAAAGCTTTTTGCAAATGCAAACATTTAGTAAAATATACAACTGCTGACCTGCCTTGAAGGAGCTAATTAGGTCTCTGGACAGCCAAATCAGAATATGATATGGGGAAAACACTATCTTACCCTTAACATAGTCAAAATCAGGGATCAAGCTCCAGTGCCTAATTTGTTTCTTCTCTCCTGTAAAATAGTAATTCTTTGTTTCCACAAGACTGTATTTAAATTTAGAAAAGTAACTTAAAGCTAATGATTTCACAATGAAAAATGACAAAACTCTTTACTTACGCTAAAAATAGAAATTTGGAAGAGTAATTAATCAAAAAATAAGAGGTCATTTTTACAGCACTCACTGCTCTCGATGGGATCTGATTAATTCATATATACATGTAACTTTTCTTTTGCTACAGTGCTATTTACATATAATAATTAGCATTTAGGGAGACATTTTACCATTCTTTCTGTTAATACCATTCAGTACCAAAGTCATTCAATGTACCATTTTCAAAGCAGTTTCCAAACCTGCACCAATAATATTTGCAACTGCGGTTGTATGTGCAAGAACCTTCACTTACTTTATTGTTTATAATTAGGGCCTTACCAAATTCACGGTCTTGGACCATGAAATCCGGTCTCCTTCTGTGAAAGCTGGTCTTTTTGTGTGCTTTTACCCGATATTATACATATTTCATGAGGGAGACCAGCATTTCTCAAATTGGGGGTCCTGACCCAAAAGGGAGTTGAAGGGGGTTGCCAGGTTATTTTAGGGGGATTGTGATATTGCCACCCTTACTTCTGCACTGCCTTCAGAGCTGGGCGGCTGGAGATCGGCAGCTGTTGCCCAGGCGCCCAGCTCTGAAGACAACACCGCCGCCAGCAGCAGTGCAGAAGTAAGGGTAGCAATACCACCCGCGCCCCCCCATACAATAACCTTGCAACCCTCCCACAACTCCTTTTGCGGTCCGGACCCCTACAATTAGAACACCAAGATATTTCAGATTTAAGTAGCTGAAATCATGAAATTTATGATTTTTTAAATCCTATGACCATGAAATTGATCAAAATGGACCGTGAATTTTGTAGGACCCTATTTATAATGATTTGTTTGTTGGAAGGATTATATTGATTCATGGTCTGATGGGGACCAGTGAATAAATCAGAGGCCTCAAATCAAGAAACTAAAACTAAACCATGGAATCTCTGATTCATCCTGCTTCAGCCATAAATTACATTTTGGGAGAGGAATACAGGGATTTAATTGATAACTGGGCCAGGGTACAAATATTTTTCCTCTCTCTCTGTTTATTCTCCTCCTGTGCTAGGATTAGAATGCACAACCTCTCCATCTAGTTTAGTGGACTTCAGGAGGGGTGACAATTTTCCGTCACTGGAAACCAGTGAAGAATCAATCAAAAAACCTGATTTATATGACTCCCCCTTTTGAACTATGAGAAACCAGTGATACTGGCCACATAGTACTGTACTGAGATCAGGATCTCACACATTGATTCCTCTTTCCTGTTTGTGTTTTTCATTTGTTCTTATCTAGGGTAAAAGACTAGTTAGTTTCAAGAAAAATCTAGGAAACTATTTGGTTGAAATTGATCAGACTGAAGAAGGTAGAAAAGAACTGTTTTAACATTTGTATGTAGTGCTGCTTTGTGTCTTTACCAGATGAGATTAAATAATTGATTTGGGATATTTTAGCTTGTCCACCTGTCCATTGGGGTCCAAACTGTATTCACACCTGCAATTGCCATAATGGAGCTTACTGCAGTGCCTATGATGGGGAGTGCAAATGTACTCCAGGATGGACTGGCCTTTATTGTACCCAGAGTAAGTGACTCTTATGATCTACTTATGTTGTTGTGTGACTACCAATTAGTAACAGTATTTTCCTTCGTTTCTTTTAATACTTCCTCTTTGTTCACTGATTTTTCCAACACTGTTATGCCATTCTAATCCAGAAGATGTGTCTCATGTCACCTCTGCTGGTACAAACGTTGAAAATTGTAGCCACCTATATTAGTTGGGACTGCTGCATCTGAGGGGGAATTCACCCTTGGAGGAGGATAGGCTATGTTCACACCATTGCCTTCCCTTTGGGTTTCCTACAGAGGAAGGCAACATTCAGTTACAGCCAGGAGTCCACAGGAGTCTCAGCAGCAGAAGCTGGCATGTGCATGTGCTGAATGAATGCTTTCCCAGGTGCCCAGATATTGTCTCCTAACCTGGCCAGAGCTATACACTTCTGAGGCAGCACTTGCTAGGCCCTGACAAAAAGACAGTATGCAGTTATCTTGTACTCCTTCCCCACCCAAAACCTTCTCTGGGAGGAATTCTGCCACTGGGCACTCTGCACCCAAAATTACATCAGCATTACCCAGGGCTGAATCAAGTCCTATGAAGTGAATAGCTTCAAGTTTGCTCATGACAGTGATTCATAGAGACACATTCCTCTCCTCAGCAGTATTGTAAAGTGATTTTATTCCAGGTCCCCTATCTCTCTAGTCATTAGCTTACAGGGAGCAAGCTTTACCAACACATAATTTAGGTACTGGCATGACTATTTATATTATCTGGAACCAGAATCGGAACTTCATCAGGTCACTATTTTATACTCTACTCTAGAATTGTTTTTGGGTGACTCATACATTTAATACCTGAGATCTCTCTCCAAGAACTTTACGTTAATGAATTAGATATTGGAAGTGTTGTGACTAGAAATCTGCATATGAGTGCTGAGCAATAGTTCATACAAAGTTTGAGATAATTTTTCTGTTGATTGAAGGAATGTTGTCTTATTTTCCCCATTACAGGTATCATATGATCACATTTATAGCTATTATTTTGCTTATGCTCAAGTCAGGTATACTCATCATATTTGATCTCAGCAAAGTACCACTGAAATCTGCTTTGCATGCGGTGCTTTTTAAAGTCACAGCACTCCTTTTTCAATAGCACAATGTCAGAGCGGCAGGAGATAACACATATTATGGGGCCATATGGATAATGTTGTGGAAGACATTCACTGTATTGGTTCAGCTGTCAGCTATCATGGCTCTTTTGCTTCCTGCTGGTGAATAATGATCTGTTTGCAGTGGTATGTCTTCTTCATACTGGCATGGAACCTTTGTGAGGAGCTGAGATGCAATATTTTTACTCATTAATGTTTCAACATCAACTGTGCAGAAAATATGTCCAAAGATTCATTCATCATTCAACAGTCTTCCTGGGCTCTTGCACAAAGTCCCCCCTCCCTCCTCCTTCAAATGTCTCCTTAAAACATCTTCCCATTCCAGCAATCCTTCCTGCCTATCTTCTTCTCATCAGCAGCAGTCCCTACATCCTCCCTTACCTGTTACTTTGTCTTGTCTTTTTGTCTAATATACACAGTAAACTTTTCAGAGCAGAGAAGCTCTTCATCTATTATCTTTATAAAGTCCTGTATAAATTAGTGGCACTATAGAAATGATTTTTAATAAATAATAATAATACTTGTATATTCCTCATAGAAGATTCTCTTCTCTTTTTTTCCTCCCCTTTGCACTGCAGGATGTCCCTTGGGGTTTTATGGCAAAGATTGTGCATTAATATGCCAGTGTCAGAATGGAGCTGATTGTGACCACATATTGGGGCAGTGCACCTGCCGCACAGGATTCATGGGGAAACACTGTGAACAGAGTGAGTAGGAAGCAGAAAATACTCGTGCATAGTAGGAACAAATGCAAAACTCCCTAGACCGAATACTGTGATTGTGAGTCCTTACTCAGACAAAACAGCACTGACTTCAAAGGGAGTTTTGCCTGAGTAAGGACCACAGGATTTGGACCTGTGATGTTAAGGTTGTTTCTCCATCTGATGAAAGCCTGAGAGATTAGTAAGACAGACTTATAGTCTTTCTTTAAATCTTTTTGATTGTTTATTTACATGTATAGCTACCTTTAAAAAGCTCCTGTCCTAGGCTACCTATAGTTGCCTTTGACATAATATTAGAAAAATGTCCATAACTGTACAAAAATAACAAATTCATCCAAAAAATTGTTACCGTCATAACACCCTGATGAAAATAATAGCCGGAAGACTGAGAGCCAAATTCATCTCTGGAATAGCTCTATGTAAGTCAAAAGAGTTACCAAAGGGGGGCATATAAGGCACATTATATTTTCTATACATAGGGCCTGATTTTCCTTTCACACATACTAGTTCTACCCCAGTTTAACTTCACTGGTTTCAGTAGAATTACATGAGAGAGAAGAACGAGGCCCAAAGGCTCACACTTGTGTTGGCCTAGTTTTTGGCAGGGTCAGGAGAGTGGTGTGTCTATGCCTAATACATCATATTACCCCCAAAATTGGCTCCAGTTCAGAAGATCAACACAGGGCCTACCCACTGTATAAATCTCACTTGTTCTGAGTGTTTAATTAGCACTTGAGTGGTACATAAACCTTTTGTAGGCCCTTTGCACAGGGCTCAATTTCACATGTGTAGAACAGGCTTCCCATTAGGTATAAGGGGGGACGATAGGATGGATAGCTCAGTGGTTTGAGCATTAGCCTGCTAAACCCAGGGTTGTGAGTTCAAGCCTTGAGGGGGCCACTCTAGGGATCTGGGGCAAAATCAGTACTTGGTCTTGCAGGAGGAGGCGGGACTCTATGATCTTTCAGAGTCCCTTCCAGTTCTATGAGATAGGATAGATAGGTATATTATAACAGATGTTGGTTTTGTAAAATTAACTAACATTTTTGTGTAGAACTGTCAAAAAATGTTGACAGAACAGTTTTCTCTCAGAAAATGCAGTTTTATCAAAATCTCAATGTTTTGCTGGAATGTTTTGATTTTGATGGAATTTTCAACGGCAAAATCTCAAAACAAACCATTCTGACTTTCTTGTTTCACTTTGACCATGTCAGATGTTTCATTTTGATGAGGTGAAAGTGTTTTGTTTTGACTTTAGCATATTGATTCATTTTGTTTTGAGTTTTATATTAATTAAAGCATTGATTTTAATATAGCATATTTGTACAAATTATATTTAATATTTTATATTATAAAATGTTGACATTATTGAAACAAAATGTTTTGATGTTAATGCATAGAATTGTTTCTGAATTTCAGCTCTGTGGAAAATTTCAAAATTTTGGCTTTTTGTTTTGATTTGGAACAAAACCAAATATTTAAATGTTGGAATTTTCCATGTAATAGATATTCCCTTTTCTGATCAGCTCTAATTTTGGGGGAAATAAAACATGGACTTAAATTGCAATAAATACATAAATAAAAATTAAGAAAGCAAACTAGTTTTCCACCCTCCCCTTCCGAAAAAGTCTGAGAACTTCACAAAATTTAAGCTCCAAAAGGTTTGCCAATTCCTGTCTGAAAGAATTACACTTTTGTAATCCAGTTTTGTTACAATAAAATAACAAGCCACAAATGTATGAAGGTGGCAATATAAAAAGAAGCCAAAGCTATCAGTAAAGTGATGCTAATAACATGATTAAAGAGACACTTTTAATCAGCACTGTATTACTGCACCTATAGCAATGCTTAGCATCAACGCACCTAAGTTTCTTTGTGTATCTAGCCCACGGTGCCTTATTCTCTACTGCCTTGTACCATAAGTGGTCTTTTAAACCTGTGCCATTATGATTTGGAGACAATTTACATTCATTTTGCATAGATGTAAACAAGGAGCTGGGCAGTGGAGAATCAGACCCGGGTATCCACATGTGAACATGATATTTTGTTTGTTTTCCCAGATAGGAAATCATTTAAAACAAACAAGATATTTTCTTCCCTCCTAGAGCTCCAGCACCAATAACACATTGCCACCTGCTGGTCACTTATAAAAAGTACCTGCTTTACAATGGCAAATCTTTAGGGTGCTTAATACTGTGTATCTGTAACATTAAAATATTTCAGTAGCATTTACTACACACAGAGTTCATATTCATAGTTTCAAATATGAAGATGTGCATTTTCTTTTTTATTATTTTGCACAGAGTGTCCCCCAGGTACATACGGTTATGGCTGCCGGCAAATATGTGACTGTCTGAACAACTCAACTTGTGACCACATCACAGGAACTTGTTATTGCAGCCCAGGCTGGAAAGGAGCAAGGTGTGATCAAGGTAATGACATGCAATAAAATGATTGCGAAAGTACTATAAATTCTCTTAGATATCATATGTACATAAATAATGAATTCCCTCTGGGATGTGTATTTAAATGACTAGATTGTTTATTAATAATATTTATACTTATGAGTCTTAATCCATCCCATGACTTATTGATAGCTTACTGGAGGAAGGAAGGATCGTGAGTTAGGACAGTATGCTTGTTTTTAACACAGCACCTGATGATATCTTTTGCAGCGTTGTACTTGATAATGCCATACAAAGCTGCCGGTGGGTCAAGTACTTTGTACATTGTGTATTTCTTGGCCAGAGGGCAGAGTGCTATTTTTTCAGCCACATGAAATAGACATATAAAAGTTGAGTATTTGCATGAATTATTGTTGCCGGGTAAGGCTTGGGCTGTCACTCCTAATGCTTTCGGCATAACTCTAACTATATTTAAAATATATAGATATGAATACAGTAAGAGAGCTTTAAGAATAGAAGTCAGATCTCTGCTCTTCATTTTATAATTCTTGTATGAATTTATGCCATGTGTTTTCATTTCTTCTTGTTTTACAGCTGGTGTGATCATAGTAGGAAACTTGAACAGTTTAAGCCGTACCAGTACTGCTATCCCTGCTGATTCCTACCAGATTGGGGCTATCGCAGGAATCATTATTCTTGTCCTGGTTGTCCTTTTCTTGCTTGCACTATTCATTATTTATAGACACAAGCAGAAGGGGAAAGAAACAAATATGCCAGCAGTTACCTATACACCCGCTATGAGGGTCATCAATGCAGATTACACCATTTCAGGTAGGAGTAGAGCTATGTGAGGGACATGACTAAGTAAATCCCAGCCGGAGAAACAAAATTGCAAGTTTTGTTCCTCACTTAACTTTTACAACTATTCATTCTCTCTTAATCAAGCTCATATACTGGCTACATAAATGCCCCCACAGGCTTGAGGAGGTGCAGATGGCACCGTTCTGCATCCGTAACTGCTACTATGATCAGGGAAGTTTATGCTTTCAGGGAGGGTAATTTGGGTTTCTAGTGCCTTTAGTTTCTAGTGACACCCTCCCTTGGGAGTTCCACCAATGGGAGCAGTTTTAATCTCCATGGGGATGGAGCTTCATAGGTACCCCATATCGAAGAGGGAGATTCTCAAGGATCTACTGAATTTGTGTATCCCCAGTTGCTGCAGGCTGTCCCTCCTGTCTAGCCAGCAACTCAGCTTTTCAGGACACACTGGACAGCAACAGCCCCCCATGGCAGCCCCTTTCAGCTGTCAGCAGCACATAGTCATAGTTCGGAGTGAATCTTTCTGAGTGTCTATGGCTGTGAACTGTTGTGTGTTGTACAATGTAGCCTCTTTAATCTATGCATTTAATATATAAAGTCCATCTATGCTAGTAGAAATGTGTACTGTTGAACAAAGGAAAATGCTGACCACATACCATACAATACAACTTTGTTCTCTAGCATCTTTCATACAAATTGTATCTCAAAACATGTTTCAGAGTTAAGTAATACAGTGACGGGGTTAATTTTTCTGTTCCTCTGCTAACTATATTTAAAGGGTTTAAGAAAGGCTGAAAGGCTATGGTTTCCACTGAGATTTGAAATGAAATAGAGTAGTATGAGACAAGTGAAGGGAGTGGAAAGAAGAGAGGAGGCAGGAGTCATGGGTTAGGCTGGAGCAAGGCCATAAAGGGTTTTAAAAAAGGAGAGCATTTTTTAGTTAGACCCTGAAATCAGCATGGAGTTGTTTCAGAGTTGGGTTGATATTGTCACATTTTTTGTATTCACAAAACTTTAGGAGTTAGGGAAGCTGGGGCTTTGGGAGGCCAGGAGTTGCAGTAGTTAGAGCAGATGAAGGTATGTTTGAAAAATGCGGCCAAGGGGGAGTCACAGTAGTAGCAACACACACAACGTTGTGGAGCTGGTCAGCATTTTTGCAAACTGGTTAATGCCAAGGTTGCAGACAATGGAGGCAAAAAAGAGTGAAAGGACTGAGTCTCAGGGAAGTATCTTCAAAAGGCAACAGCGCATTCCTTTAAATTATTCATTTTCTTCTCCCTTTCTTTTCAGAAACCATTCCTCATACTAATGGTGGGAATGCCAATAGCCACTACTTCTCCAACCCTAGCTATCACACCCTAACACAGTGCACAACCCCACCTCATGTCAACAACATGGACAGGATGACCCTTGCTAAGGTAAAACAAGAAAACAGTGGTGGCCATTATGCAGATCAACAACCAGTATTAGCTCAATGTTTTCTTTTACATGGTACATCTCTCAACAAGTCATTTTCATAAAAGATTTGATTTCTTAAACTACCTTATTGGACTTAGTTTTGTTTTCCCCAATTATCATCTTGTGCAAACATTAGTGATCTATAATCAGCTGCAGTCTACATTATCTTTTGTTTGTTTGTTTGAAATAGTCAAAAAACAATCAGCTGTTTGTGAATCTTAAGAATGTGGATCATGGAAAACGGGGTGCAGTCCTGGACTATACGGGAACACTGCCTGCAGACTGGAAACATGGAGGCTACCTCAATGAGCTTGGTAAAGAAATAAAGAGAAAGGGTGCTGTGTGTTACCCTGTGTGGGTCTAAAGGATGGCAGAGCAGACATTTCCTGTGTGAGGTCTAGGCACAATCTGGTTCTTCTGTGAAGCTAGCTAACATTGACAATGGTGCTAGCCTTGCCAAATTGAGCGTAGAGGGGTCAAGGCCCTGGCCCTCCTTCTAGGCTGACCAGTGGAGCAGTACTCCAGAGAGAGGAATATAATTAAAGACAATCTAGTTGGTTTTATGGAAAATAGGTCTGGTTAATAAAGGAAATTGTGTAAACATAATATACTTAGACTTTTATTTGACTTAGGCCTGGTCTACACTGGGTGACATTTAATGGCCTATGATATACAGAAGATCAGATTAAACGATTAATGGTTCCTTCTGGCCCTAAACTCTATGAATCTAGACATTGTTAGTCAGTATATAGGTGTACAGTCACACTGCTTCTGCAGTGAATCTGTGCTCTCATTGTAGGAGTATTTCTCCTGTGAGGCACAAATTAGCCATGAAACAATTCTGTAGAGATTTTGAATGGTTGCCCAGAGAATTGCAATTAGATTTACAAAACGTTCTGTGTTTTTGTTACTCTCCTTTTTCATAGGTGCTTTTGGGCTTGACAGAGGATATATGGGAAAATCCCTGAAAGGTGAGTTTTTATTTTCTGACACATTTAAGTAAAAACACACAGATATTTAATGTCCTATTTAAAATTATTCTTGGTTTCTGTGGAAAGAGAATATATGAAGTGCAGTGACTCTTTGTAAGCTGATGGGTTATCTCACTAGCCCAGGAAGAAACCAGTGCAATACCCAAAACTTTCAGACCTTTGCCTCCTGGCACAATTTATTGGTTAAACAGAAAACTCATGAGTAACACCAAAATTAAGCAACTCCCCTGGCTAACCTGGGCTGCAGTCCCCAGAGACTTTTTCTTTGCCTCTCTTCCTTTCTGGAAGGAGGATACATCATTCCCTTAAATCCCCTGCTGGATCCTGTGAAAGGCAGGTAGCCCATTACCCTTTCCTAGCTGTTTTCCCTCCCATCACACTCCAGTTACCCCTGTGAGGATAATATAGCTTTGCATGAGGCTGTGCCTTTCAGGCACAACTGAGCTCACATGAGTGAACTGAAGACTTCTGTCAGAGCTGTGTTCTAGTTTGGCAGTAATAAGACAAAGAATATAACTCCTTTATATGTCAGTAAGCTGTTAAAAGTTGAAGAAGACAACAACATGTTAATACTGCAGTGAAAGTTAAATGTGATAATGCTACAGTGTTTCAGATTACAGAGCATCTGTTCTGACCTATGGTTGCCACTATGTCCACAAGTGAGCCTGCAGTGCTTTGGCACGACGTGGGCACATTAACGGGATACCACATACCCTTCGGAAATATTTATTCCGCCACTTGAAGATTAAGTTGCAGCAATGGCCAGGTCTTTTTTATTATTTAACCTACAGCCAAGAAGCTGTAACTGGTCTTTTCAGATGTCCACCTTTGCAACTATTGTGCATGTCTTTGCCACCCACATCAAGATTATGCAACTGTAATGTTCTCTACTTAGGGCTGTATTTTAGATCCATCTGGATACTAAAGATGGTGCAGAATGTGATGGCCCACTTGGTAAATTTAACCTGTGTTCCATGCTCTGCCCCGGCTGGCTGTGAGTTCTGGTTTTGACCTTTAAAGCTGTAAATGGCTTAGTACTTGAAAGACCATCTCTCTCCCCATGCTATACCACCACAGCTGAGATTAGCAGAGGTGGAGTCCTATTGGTATAAATGAGAGAGGTAGCTGGCAGGGCATAGTCTGTCAGGGACATAGTCCATACAGCTATGGAATTTGCTCCCCTCCTTGGTCTGAAATAGCCCGATTCTCATCACCTTCAAGTCTCACTGGAAGGCTCATTTTTTCCCAGGCATCTGAAAATGGGGGGAGTTAAGTATATAGACAAGAGCAGCTATTTTGTAGAGCATTTGTATAATACAATATAATTTAATTGAAGGAATCAATTATAATGTTTCAGTATGTGATATTGTCTGGCAGTGAAGGATTCTCTGGATGTTCTTGAAAGATTTTGGGGTGCTTCATTTGAGACTCCTTAAAAGGGCCTGGTTGTTGAAAAGTTCTGACCATCCACTCTCTGAAAGTCAGATACCTATAAGGCATCTCAAGTTGCGTACCCAAAATCAGGGTATATCTACACTATGGAGCCCATACCGGTACAGCTAGGTGCCATAGTTATGCCAGAATAATCCCATAGTGTAAATGCGGCCTACACCAATGGAGGAGGTTTTTCCATCAGTGTTGGAATACACCCAAATGACAGTACCTAGGTCAACAGAAGCATTTGTCCATTGACATAGCTGCATCTACACTGGGGGTTAGGTTGGCATAGCTATGGTGCTCAGGGATGTGGTTTTGTCAACTTAACTTTTAAGTGTAGACCAGGCCTCAGTAGTCAGATCTGAAAGTCTTGGCTGCAAATCTGCAAAGACAGAAGAAACTCTCACAATGTCTTTCCAGCTCAAGAAAACACTTTCCATCCCAAATCTCCTTTATCACTCCCTTAGCCACACCCCAAACTGACTAACCAACTGACCCCTGCTCATTCTTTCCTCCTCCATCCCTACTATTAGGGAAATTGAGGAAAAACAGTTGAAAATTTTAGCATGTCTTGATGGTTACCAATGAAGGCACTGACAGAACAAAATGGCCCCTCACTAAAAGCACGCTGCCTTCAGTTCTCTCCCAATTATTACAGGAATCGTCTGTTAGCTCAGTCCCTTCAGTAATTGTAATGTTATTTATGTGTCAGGAGTTCAGCACCTGCAAAGGCAAATGTGTTCTAAAATTATCAGTTACAGCCTGATCCTGAAAATTACCTTTAATTAGTGCCAGACCCAACTTTAATGAGAGTTGAACTTTGCAGCAGGAATGCCCCAGGCAAAATCAGGCCCATAAAAAGCAGGGCAGTTGAGGTAACTCTATTAATCACCGTGTAAAACAAATCTGGGGAAGTATTATGACAAGTTTCTATATATTTATTGTTTTATGAGAAACTGTGCAGATCTCAAAGTAGCCGATCTATTTGGTGGCAAACATTTTCTGAAACAGACGTTTATTTTGCTTTACTTACTCACAATATTTATGCTTACACATTAAGCAGCACATTCAAAAGATTACAGTGCTATTTTTTCTATTGTCAGATTTAATGAAGAACTCAGAATACAATTTAAGCAACTGCTCATTAAGTAGCTCTGAAAATCCATATGCTACTATTAAAGATCCACCAGCACTTTTGCCAAAAAACTCAGAATGTGGATATGTTGAAATGAAGTCACCGGCACGCAGGGACTCCCCATATGCAGAGATCAGCAACTCTGCTTCAGCCAACAAGAATGTCTATGAAGTTGGTAAGTACAAACTGCATTGTTAGAATGTGTGTGATGAGGACACAGCGCGCAAGACTCTTCCTTTGAATCAAGCTGTGGTGGGTCAGATGAGCCCCACCAACCAGACAAGGGTTAAGGAACTTCTGTGGTCACAATCAACCGCAGCTCGCCACATGTGCTTGTCAGGCCTGGAGGTGGGCCCTTAAAAGGGAGGAACTCCGAGCAGTAGGGGTGGCACTCAGAACAAGCAGAGACAGGGCTCAGTGTTCCCAGACTGGGGCCCCTGTGCCACTAACTGACTGATCTCTTGCAAACACCTGCCCAACGCTTTGAGAAAGAAGATGAAAGGGGGTAGACTCGCTGAAGGGCACAGACAGAGGGCTGTACCTGGTAAACTCAGAACCAGACCACAGGGTTGTGACTGCCCAGAGAATAACATAAGAAGTAACCAAGGTGGCCGCTCTCACCCCAAAAAGGTGACCTGAAGACATTAACTCTTCAACACAGGCTCAACCAAAACAAAACAAAAAAATCACTAAAAAAAATATTGATACACTTTCAGGTTCTATACATGAACATGTAGCTGTAAGAAGAATCCCATTCTTTTCACACTTGTGAAGCAATTCACAAAGAAGATGGTTTCAAATACCTCAGTTTCAGTTGTGTAAATAAGTCACCCACCTAAATATCTCTGCCAAAGAGCCAATATTTTTGCCCTCCTTAAAGCAGCAGTGGGAGACATACGTAGCCGCTCACTGCCATATAACTTAGTCCTGTACCAGGTTGTCCAGTCCTGAATATGGTTAGCCCTGGTGGACAACAGGGGCAGAAGAGCTCTGTGGCTTCTGTGCTCAGGCAATGTGCATCCTGTCCCCCGACCCCTGCTCTCCTATCAGTAACTCTGCAGATCCTGGTTCCTTTCCCATGGCAGGTCCTGATGAGTTATTACAGTCCTAAGAAAACTGTGACATACTGGTAGAATATTTAAATAACTTACCTAAGGTCACAGACTAGATCACCTGACTGCAGGTCCAATGCCTTAATCACAAGACCATCCTTCCTTTCTTAATTCATACAGAATAGGCAACAAGATCATTAGCCCCTTACTAGCTGGAATGAAATACTTTAAGATTTTAGATGTTCTGTTTTCTTCCTAATATATAAGGTCACAGCTTTTAAAAAGTCTGAAGCATTACTGTGAATAAAAGCGAAGCAAAATAGCGGATCTCTGTATGGTTAGTTGTACATTACTTAATTATTCTAAAGTGCATTAGCAACACGGATTAAAAAAATAGTCCTGATCCTTTAAGGGGATCTGTACTGTACATTTTGGATTTCTCCTAGTAGGTTGAAAGATGTCCACATTGACAGTTACCTCTGATGGAAGATGCTCTAAAAAAGTTGTTTAAAGTAGGATCAGAATTTAAAGAACATGTAACTGCTGTGTACATTGAAGGACCTAACTCTCCCTTTCTGTACCTATGTGGAGATTTCCTAGAATTCCATGAGGGTGTCCATTGTCTTGCTAAGGACTGTCTATTCCATGGTGACTCTCTCTGGGGCATCCCGGAGAAGAGTGGGATCTGTGGGATGAAGAAGAGTGGGACATGACTGTGTCTGTGTGAGAGAGAGAACCAAGCAGCTGCATGGTATTCCACAACCTGTCTGTCAGGATTAGTATGCAAATTTCCATTGGATGCTTTGCACAATATCCTTTTACTGCTGATGCTTTGCTCAGAAGTCCAAAGTTTGGCCCAATGTTTGTTTAAGCAGGAGCCTGGATTCCTGCAGCTTCCTCAAAGAGAAAAGAGGACATGCAATTCTGCTTGATGTATTATCATCTTACAAACTCATGAATGCGCACACAATTGAGTTTGTTGCATAACTGAGCAGTTTTAATGCCAGGCCAGCAAATTTTTAAGCGACATGCTCTTTACTTGAGAATTTAAAGCTGAGTCAACAAGTTCTTTCTTTTAAGCAATGGTAACTATTTACCAAGACTTGTTTATTTTTATGAAGATATTTTCTTCCTATTTGCTATTACCAGTGCCCAAATATGTGTGTTCTCTTTTATCACAGAACCTACCGTGAGTGTTGTCCAGGGCGCATTCAGTAACAGTGGACCTTTCAGCCAAGATCCTTATGATCTTCCAAAAAACAGTCATATTCCATGCCATTATGACTTGCTACCAGTACGAGATAGTCCAACATCCTCTGAGAAAGAGGTCAGCAGTGAATGACACCTCAAGCTCATTGTACGGCACAGTGGAACTCTTAAGGAGAATGGTGGCTTGGTTATGCTCCTTCCTGTACTTTGCCACCATATTTGGCTCCTAATCCATTCTGTAGACAATTGCTGTACGTTAAACAGGAATCTCAAGCTGAAGTTTGTATACACACATACGGCATGTGGATAGATGCCAAACTGAAGAGACCCTGATCAGATTTTCCATTACAGTTATTTTTACAAAGACACCAATTCCACACATTTACACTGTAGTATACTTGTTTAAACATAGTAGTTTGCAGAACAGTTTTGATAACAGTTCCATTTCTGCTACTTTGAAATTGGATTTCATGTCTGTTTTTCACTTGCTCATGTTTCATAGTAGAGATACCCCTAAGGACTGTACAACCTACCAAATATCCACTTCTTACAGGTAGTCTGATTCATTTGTTATCTAGAAGAAAAACTGTCTGATATTGCCAGATTTCTTTCACATCACATCATATTGTGGTGGATTATATTGTTTTTAGTCAAAATGTGTAAAAAGACTTGATCTGATGGGATGTAACCAAATGCAATGCGGAAGTGATTTGAAAAACTCAACACAAGTTTTTCATGTCTACTACTGGTTATGGAAATACATTGCCTGTGTAGTTTTGAAGGTGATGAAAGCATTGCATGCATTAATATTATTGCAACACCCGAAGATCAGTGGATACCCCATACTAGTAGGCTTTGGCACCCATCCTTGCCAAATCATTTGGTGCATTACTGCTCCATATACTACAGTTCTGACCATCATTCCTGTCATACTCGAGTAATAATCCATAACATATCAGTAATTATTGCATAAATATGTAAATGAAATCAGTTTATTTTTGTCAGAATGGACTGAATGAGTGTGTAAGGAATGGACAAAAATGATGAATGCTGTAAATTTGAAGTGCAAGAAAAGGTTTAAATTTTATAAACAAGTAGTAATATGGACTGTAATATAGAATAAGAATAGTAGTGTTTTGATTAATTTTTTCCCTAGAAATGACTGAACAATCTCTGTGTATACTTGCTAAAAAGGCACCTTTTTTTTATAGTTGATGTAGGGAAAATATGCTTAAGCTGGTCTTTTGCATTGCTAATAACTTGACACATATATCCCATTTTTCATTAACTTGTATCTCCATTTTTAAATTTTGTATCTATGTTTCTAGTGCTCTAGCTTATAACTGCAAAATATTTTATTGTACATCCACTGTTTATTGCATTTTTGACAGCTGGCCTTTATTTTGTCTGGTTAAGAAAAATTTCTCTTTGGGAGGGATGGGGCGGGAGTATAAAAGTGAGAATTGATATAATATTAATATCCACCGGAGATGGACTAAACGGGTTAGGTAGTAGTGTAAACTGGTGGATTGAATCAGCAGGAAAAAAATACAATTAGAAGGTGTTTTGCTTGAGGGATAATGTTTATAACAAGAAAGCATAATAAGTTGTCCTACGCAGAAAAGAAAAAACAAGACCCCTAGCTTGGGGATCAGCTCACTCCTGACCCTGCATGTGGAGGCCAGCCTTCCCAAAGGCATTCTCTCCTCTGTCTCCCAAGTAGCCAACTTATAGTCAGGGCCCCATGTCTTCTGCAGTTCAGTGGAAGTAGAATTGTTCATGGAATCCACCCTTTGAAACAGAATTGTGCTCTGGAGTCCAAGCTTTTATTTATTTGTAATTGTTAAAACTGATGCAAAGACATCTCCCTGAATCTTCAAACAGTCTGAAACAATAGCTAGGGTGTCGGGACTGCTTGTTTCATCTCATTGGGATGTTAGATTCAAAACCTAAAGATGAGGTTATATATCAATATTGTTGAAGATACCACTGCTGATCATGTTAGTGAAGCATCCTGCTGATGGCCCATAATCTCAAACAGCCTTTTTCACCTTCCCAAAGTAGTGACTCTGCACCCGGTCACAAGTAGGTTTACCTTTAAACACATCCGAACTGTATGATGTGATATGAAGGCCAGCGGTTGGTCAAGCATTTTGGTACTCGTATGCTCTCTGCCTCAGTACGCTGAGGTGCCACTATGGCTCTGTATCTGAAAGTTTGGATTATGTTAGAATCAAAGACAAAGAAGTGTTGACATTGTGATGGTATTGGCTCCTAAGAGAATCACATCCCGTTGCCTTTGGCTGGAGGAACAATAGCTACAATACAGAGCCTCAATGAGAAAAACGTTTCTGGATACAAAACCTCCTTGGGCTGACGTGGAAATACTGTCTGATGTTTGCTGCGATTAAAGTGGTGACAGATCAGAGCTGTACACATGAAGACCTCACCATAGCTGGGCTCAGGCCTCTGAGGCACATGTGGATGCATGGGGTGCCCATTTACACCCCATGTTTGTGTCATACATAAATATTGGCTGATTTGCGGACAAACTGGAACTTCCTGGGCAATTGCACATCCTTGTAAAAGTTGTATGACCAGCTCAGGACATCACAGATATAAAAATAAATGCTGATGTTTCAGAAATTAAGCAGCATTTTACACCCCACTTAAGGTAAATGACTGATTGGGTGTGTGTGTGCCAAGTACATGTAGTGATATTGATGTGTTTGTACTGTGTGATCCAAACTTAAAAATAAAATCTCCTTTCTGAAGCTGTGAATAGAAAATGCAATACACTACAACTGTGAGTTCACAAAAGTCGTCTCCTCTTACTTCATGTATAATTTGAATTTGATGGCCAATAGAACAATTATTCATTGTAACATTTAAAAAAAAATCCCTGTCCTTCATACTATACAATGGTGAAGAGCAGAGCAAATTATTTTTAACTTGTGTAGGAATTCCAAAAGTGGTGCACATCTTCAAATTATGCATTCAAGCGAACACTCATGACAATAAATCCTGCTCAGACACTTCAGGCTATTGTGTATGCTCTAAATATACTCATACATGCAGGTCCAAATTCAGCCCTGCTGTATGTGGTGACATTTCTGCTGTGGCCAAGGGAAGTTGCACCTGCTTATATTTGGCCCCTATAAATATACATACGTCACATAAAAGACTTGTGAATATGCATGTCTGTGTGAATAGGTGTACATGCTCACACACACAGTTGCCTGAACATTTAATATGTTCTATTTAAACAATCTCTGCATGTCATTAACTTGAGTGAATAAAGCACATTGGCTAATGTAGAAATTTATCTATAATCTTTGATTTAAAAACCCCAATCAATTTTTACTGGTATTAATAATGGCTAAATACCTGCTTGGTGCAACAAGGGGAAGCAAAAATTTTCCCAGAGCACTTGCTTTAGCAATCATGCCATCTAGAACAGGTTTCCTCGTGTGCCTCAAGAAGACATGCTTTGGAATACACTTTGCTGCTCTGTTAAGCACAACCAGAGCTCACATCTCACAGCTGCCAAAGAGCCCTGGCTGCTGATCACAGCATGTTCATTAACTCAGAGGGAGAATTTAGACCCTTCCCAACCTCCATACCAGGCTACCTTAGGGACATGATGTATATGCTGGTGCATTTATCTTTCCAGATTTCTTCTTGAGAACTATGGGGAGAGATCCTGCCTTGCCACTTGCACAAATGGAAAAAGGTGTCTGTGTCTTTATATGTTCAGAACCCCATACAGAGGAAAGCAATATGAAAACCTAGGATAAATGTCCGTACCAACTTGTATGCCAATGCAATAAGCGCAGAATTTAGCCCAAAGTTAATATCTTATTTTAAAATGTGGCATTTGGTATAATCCCTGAAATTTTAAATGATTTAGACAAACTATTCTCTGGCCATTTAGAAAAACACTGATCCTCAAAAAGACTTTTCTGTATCAGAGACTTTTACTCCCAACATACTGCTGCACTTAAACTTTGCCCTCATCTTCATTTACACAGAGAACTCCCATTAATTTTAATTGGAGCTGCACATACAGATTGAGGGGTGAACAGATTTCATTGTGCCTATCCTTTTTATCAGAATCTGCAAAATCAAACTAATGAAATAAAGTTTAAAAAAAGTATAAATATTGGTGAGCACATTATTAAAAATGTATTTGATTTTCAAAATACTATGACTAAAACTGGACTGTTGAGTAGGGTTATGTTTCCAAGTAATGACCCTTACACTGAGCCACGTGAATAGGACAATGCATCTTTAAGATCCATACTGAAGAATACAGAGCTAATGTTGACAAAAATGCTTTATATTAAAGACTGTATATAGCAGTTTAAATGACTTAAAACTGATGGGTGCTTGTTTAACTATTGTACAGAAAACCTTGCCCTTTTTGGTACAATTAACACTAGTGCCATAGCACTGGGCCTAACTATTATATTTTCAGTGTTTTACCCCAGCCACTCTCCACTTTGATATGATTGAATTATAATATATATTTTTAAAGAAAACCTACAAACGGTGTCTAGCTTGTATCTCGATTGTAACAAAAAAAACTGTTGCAATGTTGAAATGTTTTCTATTTTCCAAAGATGACTGATGCTCATCATATTACCCTTCACTACCATTTATATCACCGAACATGCTTGTAGGTTAATGTAATAAACTTTCTAATAAAAGACTTGAAATGTTGTGTTTGATTTTTTCGTCCTGTTTTTCCTCTCTCTAGGGGCACCGTGAAGTACCTCAATGGATATACATAGTAGTCTGTGTGTGGAAGTCTTTATGTGAACATGGTCAGTTCAATAACAGTCATAGGGTGAAATCCAGGCCCCATTGAAGTCAACGGGAGTTTTGTCATTGACTTCAGTGGGGCCAGGATTTCAACCACAGAGTATTACATGAAAGCTCAGTTATTTCTACTGTATTTGGGTCAGTTCCTTGCCCCCACTAAGGCTACTTTGCACTGCTTCAATAGCACTAAGCGGTGATAAAGTTGGCTTAATTGTCTCCCTGGGTATTCCACTTGTGTAGGGAAATCTCCAGGTGGAATAGAGCCAACTCTATACCACCCCTCTTTTGAGCCTCTAGTGGCATGGCTGGAGACAAGGGCCATAGCTGGAGTCCTGCTGTACTCTGTTGATGCCTAGCTGTCAAAGTGGTGCCTTTGGAGCTGTTGCAGCCAGTCTAATTTTGAGCAGCATTGAGACCATCAAGGAAAGAATAATGTCAAGGAATTTTCTTGACCTCCACACATCTGTTTGGTAGGATAACAACATCCTATTATCAACCATGTAAAATACCAGTGAGAAGCCTAAAACTACAGGCACGTAGAAAGGAAGAGATCATCCAGCAGCACCCGCATTCTCATTTCTGTTTCATATCCTGGCATGAAGCCTCTAAGCTGGCTCAAGAACACTGGTTGTGGACAAATGTTCTTGGAGATGGCTTTTTACTGTCTCCTCAGTTAGATTGCTCAGGAACGTGAGATCTGGCATTGAGTGTTAATTGGAAAGTTCTGTTTCATCTCGCAAAGTTTCCTTCAGGATTGGTTGGGCTACAGTGTGCTTTAAGGAGGGATATAGTAGCTAGTTAGTCTCACATCCAACCTGGAGATCAGGCCCTAGTTGTCTGACTCATTATGAGGCTAACACCAGAGGTTACTTTTAAGAGTTCAATTATAGAGAGAAAGAAAATAAGTTTTTTGGTGTTTGCATCTGACTCCCTGGAATTAACTGAGATTCTTAAAGAAGAAAGTTGAGTGAACTATCTTAAACAGATTAAACAAACGATTCCAAATATAGAGCCAAATCCTGAAGTTCTCTTCCCCATGTATAATTTTTTTTAAATTGTAATCCATAGTCTGAGATTCAAAGAGCAGAAGAAAAGAAAATGCCTCAAACATAAAAACTTATACTTCCCCAAAATGTCATGATCCTTGTAATATTTGAGTGAGTTAAATTGCCTCATTAGCATCTTTAATTTGTGTGATCAGCATTTATGCTGCAGATCAGCCAAAGCATATGTGACCTCAGCAGCATTTCAAGGATAATTTTTTAAACAGATCAACTGCACTTTAAAACTGCCCTATTAAGTACAGCCTCTGGCTCTTTTCTTCCCATCTACAATAATTATCAGAGACTTCAAGAAAAATTCTACTTTCCATTCATGTTACAGTTCCTGTATACCTCTAGAGCTAACATGATTATGATAATGGTGTGCAGGATCTTGCTCTACATACATGTCCTTTTGACATGGAAAAAGTGAAAGATTTTCTTTGAAGACTGTAGTGCAATGAAGCAGCTGATCGTGTTTATAATTTTTCTAGAAGTAATTCTATTTTGTGGTTACAGAGAGATTGGTTGATTATACTCATCATGACATAATGCATGAGGCTAAAATAGGGAAAGAACAAGTAAAAAAATTACTTAGACAAGTTAGATATCTTCCAGTCACCAGGGCCTGATGAAATATATCCTAGAATACTCAAGGAGCTGACTGAGGAGACATCTGAGCCATTAGCAATTATCTTCGCGAAGTCATGGAAGACGGGTGAGATGCCAAAGGACTGGAAAAGGGCAAATATAGTGCCAATCTATAAAAGGGGAAATAAGGACAACCTGGGGAATTACAGACCAGTCATCTTAACTTCTGTACCAGGAAAGATAATGGAGCAAATAATTAAGCAATCAATTTGCAGATACCTAGAAGACAATGAGGTGATAAATAACAGTCAATATGGATTTGTCAAGAACAAATTATGTCAAACCAACCTAATAGCTTTCTTTGACAGGGTAACAAGCCTTGTGGATGGGGTGAAACAGTAGATGTGGTATAGCTTAACTTTAGTAAGGCTTTTGATACTGTCTTGCATGACCTCATAAACAAACTAGGGCAACACAACCTAGCTGGAGCTACTATAAGGTGGGTGCATAACTGGTTGGATAACTACTCTCGTTCCCAGAAAGTAGTTATCAGTGGTTCACAGTCAAGATGGAGGGCATATCAAGTGGGGTCCTGCAGGGATCAGTTCTGGGTCTGGTTCTGTTCAATATCTTCATCAATTATTTAGATAATGGCATAGAGAGTGCACTTATTAAGTTTGCGGATGATACCAAGCTGGGAGGGGTTGCAAGTGCTTTGGAGGATAGGATTAAAATTCAAAATGATCTGGACAAATTGGAGAAATGGTCTGAAGTAAATAGGAGGAAATTCAATAAAGGACAAATGCAAAGTACTCCACTTAGGAAGGAACAATCAGTTGCACACATACAAAATGGGAAATGACTGCCTAGGAAGGAGTACTGCAGAAAGGGATCTGGGGATCATAGTGGATCATAAGCTAAATATGAGTCAATAGTGTAACACTTGCAAAAAAATCAAACATCATTCTGGGATGTAGTAGCAGGAGTCTTGTAAACAAGACACAAGAAGTAATTCTTCCGCTCTACTCCACGCTGATTAGGCCTCAGCTGGAGTATTGTGTCCAGTTCCGGGCACCACATTTCAGGAAAGATGTGGACAAATTAGAGAAAGTCCAGAGAGAGCAACAAAAATGATTAAAGGTCTAGAAAACATGACTTATGAGGGAAGATTGACAAAAAATTGATTTGTTTAGTCTGGAGAAGAGAAGACAGAGAGGGAAAATGATAACAGTTTTCAAGTACATAAAAAGTTATTACAAGGAGAAGGGAGAAAAATTGTTTTCCTTAACCTCTGACGATAGGACAAGAAGCAATGGGCTTGAATTGCAGCAAGGACAATTTAGGTTGGCCATTAGGAAAAACTTCCTGCCAGGGTAGTTAAGCACTGGAATAAATTGCCTAGGGACACTGCAGAATCATTGGAAATTTTTAAGAGCAGGTTGGACAAACACCTATCAGGGATGGTCTAGATAATACTTAGTCCTGCCTTGAGTGCAGGGGAATGGACTAGAAAATTGCTCGAGGGTCCTTCAGGCATACAATTCTATGATTCTATGTGAAGATCAAAAATGTTCCATCTCTCAGAGGCACTGACACAAGTATCAAAAACCATCAGCCTTAATGGATGGCATTGATGAAGCTTTACCACCTTTTTTTCAATAATACTAACAATTCATGTGCACTACATACGGGTGAAGACTGCCTCTTTCATAGGATTATTTAAAATGGAAGCAACATTTAGCTCAGTCATCAGTGTCTGGATTGTGGCAAGATTTATGTAATTATTCCTTTCCATTTTTTCAAGTGTAAGACAACAGTTGAGCTTAGAATCCCATGAATGTTGGCTCTCCAGGGCTAACCAGATTTTTATCACAGAAGGAAGTTGCTATTCCTTTAAATACACATAGGGAGCAGAATTATTGCATAAAAAGTTACCAGTTTTACTTATCAGAGCGGTAGCTGTGTTAGTCTGGATCTGTAAAAAGCGACAAAGAGTCCTGTGGCACCTTATAGACTAACAGAAATATTGGAGCATAAGCTTTTGTGGGTGAATACCCACTTCGTCAGACACATGACGCAGTTTTACTTAGTTACTTCTCTGACTGTAACCATGTTAAGTATGTCAAAGTACGTGCACAAATAATATCTGTAGCTGCTTTGTAAATATACATGTTTACAGACTAGCAGAACAAATGTCTGAACTCATTGACACAGGATATTATTTAGATTAACAAGTTAGTAATTTTTAAAATGGGTTAGACATTTATAAGAATAAAAATACCACTTGTGCAGTTATATTAATAGCTAGCATATACAATATAAAGCCATGCTTCAGTGTGCAAGCTGATCACCCCCTGGGGTCAGGAAGAAATTCTCGCCAGGTCATAAAGGAGAGTGCATTAAGGATGTATTACATCTTCTTAAGTACTCATTGTTGGCCACTCTCACAGACCAGATACCAGGGTAAATGGATGATTGTTGCATCCTTGTATAATTATTCTTGTATTACTCCAAAAAGTCTGTGTCAAAAAAATAAAAGTTCTGCGCGCAATATTTAAATAAAATTTGCAGAATTTTAGTCAATAAATAAATGTGGCAGTTCCAGCATGGCAGTGGTGAGTACCCTGCAGGCCTCCCCCCAAGACATGGACTTGGCAGTGAGGCTGCCCCCAACCCTAACACAGCACCAGGGCCGGGCCTCCCCAGAAGCACCCTGCAGCCCTGCCCCTCCATGCCAGGTATAGGTTCTGGAACTAGGGGTGCTGCCGCACCCCCTGGCTTGAAGTGATTTCCATCATATACATGGTTTAGAGTTTGGTTCAATGGCTCTCAGCACCCCCACTATACAAATTGTTCCAGCACCCCTGGTGCCAGGCCCACTAAGGTAGCAAGCAAGAGGGACAGAGTTTCTCACTCACACCCAGCCCTGGCCCCCGATCCAGGTGTAGGCCAGCAGGCTCAACCCGGCAGGATCCAAGTGTGGAGAGGCTTAGTGTGGGGGGATCCAGGTGTGGGGTGAGAGGGTTCTATGTGGGGCAATCTGGGTCCAGGCAGCTCAGTTGGGGTTCTGGGTGCGTGGGACATCTAGATGCA